TTCTTCCAAAAATGTTTGCAATATCGCTGCTCGATGTTATGAAATTATTATTTTCTTTTAGCCCGTGAAATTATATGAAGTATGTAAACCAGAAATTTTCCTTACTTTGTTCCAGACATCAGAGAGGGGGGTATTGCTATTAATTTCCGATACGTATTTGTTCCATGAATATTTTTTAGCCGTTTTGACAGTTAGCTGTGCCCTTGCTTTAAGCATTTTGAATTTTAATTTATTTTCGGATGTTTTATGTTTTTTGTATCGGTTTAGGGCTGATTTACTTTCACGGATTGCTGTCGCACAACGGTCATTCCACCATGGTACAGGACATCGGCCTTTAACGGATTTAGATTTACCAATAAATTTGTGGGCGGCGCTTAAGATAAGTTGATTAAACTGCTCTACTTTCGAGTTAACATCGTCTGTTATATGCAAACTGGAAATGTTATTATCGATATATTGGGAGAACTTTTGCCAATTTGCATTTTTTATTCTCCACTTAGATATGAAAATGGGTCCTGATGAGGGATAATTATGGTTTCTAATTAGGATTGGAAAATGGTCACTACCATATGTATAGGTTTGAGCATCCCAACTGAGGCAATGAGCTAAATTTGGGTCGCAGAGAGTTAAATCAATGCATGAGGAATATCCTGTTGAAATATTGAATCTTGTAGGGCTACCATCATTAAGAAAATTTATATTAAGTTGATCTAAGATATCGGCAATACTTGAACCTCTGACAGACGTGTGATCTGAACCCCATATTATGTTGTGAGCATTAAAGTCGCCTAGAATTATACGAGGACGTGGCAGTTGCTCTAATAACCTGCAAAGGCTATCAGAACTTACTTGTTTGTCACAAGGAAGGTAAACATTGCAAATAGATACTAAACTGGTAGATATGATTCTGATAGCAACGGCCTCCAAATCACTGACTATTGGAATTTGTATCGCCTCGATGGATTTGTTTACTAGTATTGCTACACCACCGCTTGCACGACTTGCATCTGTACGGTCTTTGCGGAAACAAGTAAAATTTTTGAATTGTACAACTGATTGGTCTTTAAGTTTGTCTCCTGTAGACAAATAATATCTGGAGAATATTCAGATAAAAGAAGCTGTAGCATAGGGAGGCGATGGAAAAAAACCATCAATGTTCCATTGAAGTATTGAGTTGAATGCTGTTAACAGATTCGGAGTTAGATGATACTGAAACAATTGTCTACAGAAGAGTCACTATCTAAGTCAGAAGTCTCTTTCCCTAAATGGTTGATTAGTTTTTTTTGAAGTTTTGTAAACTTGCTTTTTGTAGATCTATCATTTGCATATTGATAGCTGCTTTTTAAAAGATGGATTAAACCAGCCATATCAGTTGTGAATTCTTTAACGACGCTAATAGTGTCGGGGGAGCCTTGGACATTATCAATCAATAAGGACAATTGGTGGAAATTTAAAACGAATGGTGGGGTATGATTATCAATGAAATTTTCAACAGTTTCCCGTGTAGATGGAACTTGAGATGAGCGCGGTTTTTTTTGTTTAGAGGGTTTGGGTTTTGCAAACAGATTTTCTGATGAAATTGCTGAGTCTGAAGGAGGCGTGTCGATTTCACCAATACTGCGTTTTATGGAAGAAGTTGCGTTTTCGCAATTGCTATTAGAGTTTTCACGTAGATGCTGTGGCTTTATTACATTTGGAAGTACTGGAGCAGATTCATTGGTAGTGACAGAAGTCGAGCTTGAAGTTTTATTTGTAAGATTGGTTGAAATGGTTGTTTCAAAAAATTGTGATGATGTATCAGTTTTATTAGAATTTTCTGCAGTTGCATCTAATGGAAAAGGAGCTGATACATTGGAAAATATTGCTTCCGAAGCTTGTGAAAACGGTATTGCCGCTGAATGAGGTTGATTAAAAGTGTTGCTATGAGTAGGAGTATTAGTAATTTCTTTGTCATGGAGATTTGTAGGTGTAGGTGATATGCTCGGATTTGATAATGGATAACTTGATGACTGCTGGGTGTTTGGTACGTTGTGTAGTATACTTGTTGACGCTGTTTGATTTGGTACTTCATTGTTTGACTCAATATGAGTTGATTCCGTTATTGAACTGTTTTTGCATTGGGATGATATGTGCCCTGTATTTTTGCAAATAAAGCAGGTGAGTGTACCTTGTGACAAAAATATGCGGTAAGGTGTTTGGTCGAAATTTATTAGAATAGAATCTGGAATTTGTGATGTTATAGGGCTTATATAAACTTGCCTCCGAAAGCTCAATATGTGACTATATTCGGGAAGGGTCGAACTAATTTTCAGAAATGTTATTGGAGAAATAAGCTTTAAACCGATATTCTGTAATTCTTCAGCTAATACTTGATGGGGAATTGACGGGCAGACTCCAGACAAGACTAGTCTTTCTGCTGGAGAGACAAGTCTTCTTGCTGTTACCACTTCGCCGAGTACTTCTATAGAGCCATATTGTGTCATGAAGTTATCTACTATGGACTTGTTTGCCAAATACATGCAGATTCTATTATGAGATAATCTAGATGAAAAAATAATATTTTTTGGGTTGATGATTGTGCCCAAAGGAATGAGATAATCCTGCAGTTTAGCATTATCGATACAACTAAATACAATTGCTTGGTTCTTACTAGGAAAAGAATGTGAAGCGGCTGAAGCATAACTGTTTGTAATATTCGATCGTTGATTTACTGGACTGGTTAGATCGGAAGGTGTGTTTACATTGTGTGAAGTCATTTTAACGTGCGGTGGCGAAGGCCTTACTCCTACACTGGTAAGTGAAAAACCAGTCGCATGCTACTATAAGCTACTTATAGCAGCTAACCTCACAAAATGATTGTACGGTAGTTTATATTTATTATTTGACTTTTTCTTTTCACAATAATAAAATAATAATTACGTATAGATGACTTACGTAGTAATGTCTAGTAGATAAACACTTTAATTTTAAAAAACTATTTAATAAAACCACTTGTTTTTATTAAAAACTAGGAGTACGATATCGATACAACTTAACCGTACCTTGCCAGGGCCGGTCTCCTAAGTATATTATTGACTCACCCTGTATTATAAATTAAATTAAAAAAATAAGTCTAGGTACTTTCAAATTTTTATATAGTATAAGAATCCTAATGTTGATACCTATTTCGACCATTGTTATTTCATATGATTAAAAATAGTTTTTTCGAAACTAAGTAGGCTACGACAATGAATTTGACGGGAAGTTGATATTGTTTATTTATTGACAGCAGTCAAGACATTGTTAAGAAGTGCTATTATAACTCAACTTGAAGAATGCACTGTTTTCATTTGATATTAATATTGGTAATATTATTAATTAATTATCAGTACTAATAATTCGTGATGAGTATATCAAATGCAGAATTGTATGATATGATTGGAGTCAATAAACGTATTTTTATCTTTAATTGTGGCTTATTCCCAATTTAATAGTAATTAAGGAGACATTATGGCAAAGAAGTATTTACAAGAAAGGCAAGAAGATTAAGAGAAGCCGGCAGTTTTCATCGTCCTTGCTTTAAACGACGTAGTAAAGGTATGACCGAAGATAATTCATCGAACATAATCAATGTTCTTGCTTTAATTCAACAGCATCCACATATAAGTAGTCGGCAAATCTCTATAGAATTAAACATACCCAAAACTACTACAGATATACATACTTGGGAACAATCATAACCGAAAACAACGATTACACACAGGAAATCAAATCACGTATAGGAAAAGCCCGATCAACATTCAATACTATGAGAAAAGTACTTTGTAGCAATGATCTGAGTCTGCAACTTAAAGTACGAATGCTTAGATGTTATGTATTTTCTGTGTTATTATATGGAATGGAGGCTTGGACGCTTAAAAAAGATATAAGTAACAGAATAGAAGCGTTTGAGATGTGGGCTTATAGAAGAATTTTAAAAATAAGTTGGATCGATAAGGTTACGAACAACGACGTTTTAAAAAGAATGAACAAGGAAAAGGAGATATTAAATACAATTAAAATAAGAAAATTGCAGTATCTGGGTCATGTCATGAGAGGTGAGAGATATGAGTTGCTGCAGATCATTATACAGGGAAAGATACTGGGCAGAAGAAGCATAGGCCGACGACGTGTATCCTGGCTAAACAATTTGAGGCAGTGGTACAATTGTAACTCTGTTGAGCTGATTAGAGCAGCAGTGTCAAAGGTGAAGATAGCCGTGATGATAGCCAACCTTCTTAAAGGAGACGGCACTTAAAGAAGAAGAAAACTACTACTTTAAGGATTTTAAAACATCACAGGTTAGTTTTTCATATTATAAAGTGAAAGTGTAGGTCAGAAACTTGAAATTCCCGTTAAACTTTAGATTCAACTGATATTTTAATATTCCAATAAAAACGGCAACACGGAGCCTTTCACACGGTTTCTTTTTCACCAATATTTGTTGTTTTGTTTTTTAGACTGCATCCTTATCATGTAGTTCTCCACCAACCTTTACATGAGAAAGATTTTGATGCAAGGCTGGATTACTGCAATTGGATATTAGGTCTGCTAGAAGAACAACCGCATATTATGTCAAAGATTTTGAGGACAGACGAGGCTACGTTTAATAGTGCGGCTGGTGTTAATCTGCATAATATGCATTATTGGGCTGAAGAAACTTCGCACTGGATATATGAGGTGCAGGTTTAAGGTAGATGGAGTCTTAATGTTTGGTGTGGTATAGTTGATGGAAAGATCGTAGGTCCATATTTCTTTAATAGAACTTTAAATTATTAGAAGATTGCATTATTTGCATAGTGTGCTTCTTTTTGGGTATTTATTTTAAACCAGCACCACATACGCGACAATTACAGAAGCTACGGACACAGAAGATACCAGCATCCGGTGATATCGGAAGTGTTTTAACAGAATTTAGATAAATATGTTATACAAGCTGATGGTGGACGCTGCAGCCTTGATGGTCTATTAAGACCATCCAGATGGTCAGAAAAAATATCTCCAGAAGAGTTATCTGTTCCTTGGAAGTTTCTACTATTGACCTCATTCCTGTAGAAGACAGACATGGTGATGCTAATAAAAATATATCTCGGAACGGCCACAACAAAATAGAAGTGTACTGTACTGGTTATGTAAGAATTCCAAAAACCCACTTGCTTTGTGAGTCTGTCTGTGATCAATGTGACAATGGTAACGGCACGTTTCCTGGTCACTGTGAATGCAAGCGAGGTGGGATTCATGATCCCTACCATAAAGACTGCATTCCTACTTGCTCATTAAGGTGTCTGAATGGTGTCTGCAACATCACTGGCCAATGTTCCTGTAATGCCGGAAATACACTTAGCTCCAATGAAAAATACTGCCTTTCTCACTGTAGCGGAGGTTGTGGTGCTAAAGGAAACAGTTTAGGTCCTGAAACTGCCACTTGAGGCAAAGGTTTCTCTTTATATGTAAGTATTCGCAAATGCAAATATCATTGCAAAGGGGGCTGTGGAGAAGGAAGCTGGACCGAACCAATGTTCCTGCAAACCAGGATATAGACAATTTTTGTGATACATGGTATACAGCCAACTACCAGAATTTAATTTTTTTGTAAATTCTTTTAATTTGTCTTTAAATTTATTAAACAACGACGTCAATTCTATAACTATTTACCTTTAGCATTTTAGTTTTAATGGCTTATCAGAATGATACCACATAATTAAGAAATAAAAATTCTTTATGTCGTTTCGTCCTTTTAATTGGAAGAATATATTTTCCCATTTATATTCCATTACTCCCATAAAATATTAAAAAATAGTAGAAGACAAATTAAAATTAATTAATTAAAAAATGATGATGACCTTTAGATCACTTTTACTCTACGTCTAGTTTGGTTCATTATATAATTTGTCTAAAAGTGACTAACAAAATCAGTGGTGCTCACAGACCTAGAACTAATGTCAAAACACCCATAATAACAACAGAACGGTAGTAAAAAAATCACTAACATTTAACCGCATGTGGGCCACGGTTATTCGTCTCGATTATCATATGAATAGCCCATCAATTACGAAAAAAAAGATTGCTACGTTGTCGTCGCACCCGAAAGCAGTACCGCCAGTACCGCAGTTTGTTGCGCAATTACCTAGTTAAAATTCGCGTACATTTTTGTTGTCAGAACCGGCACAAGCATATACCTACTGAAAAACCCAACTAATGTGGACATATTGTACACTTTCATGTTGCGTAATAATAAAATCCTGGCCAAACCAACGTCGCATTGTCTCGATGATCGTTTCTTTGTGAGTTGGATTTTTCTTGTTTTATGATTTTTTGTCCTGGTATAGGTTTTGCACCTGTTCAGGCCATGGTTTGTATGTTACTTTGGTTGTTAGTTTTCGTTTTTTTTGCTGTGTGGGTTCGTGGGGTTGGCTTCGTGTACTTGTCGGCGGAGGAACGTCCTGGACAATTAGTCCTAGCGAAAGGGTGGTTGAGCTAACCGGTCCTTTTCAGATTTTTTTTTTGCTAAAAAATATGTTTATGAATTGAATGAATTTATATGTATACAATTTATTAATTAGTGAATGTAGGGACGCGCGTGAGGACAGCTTTGGCTGTATCCACTGCAATAGACTTGTCACTATATCCGAAAAATACCAACCGAATGAACAAATTTGTAACAAAGAAACTGTAGTACATTTTAGTTTATATGTTATAGACAGATTTGCATTGGTTGATAGGAGAATAGACCTTAAGTATACATAAGCGTGTACATATTATAACATGCTTAGAATTTTTCTACATCTAACGGTTTGTGAGAAAAATTTCTAGTTGGATGCCTGTATTTGATGACAATTTCGTGAAAATTAAAAGTGAATATTTCGTTCCAAATTTGTATTATTTCTATTAAAGGTAACTTGCTGAATAAAAAAGTTATTTAAATGTGCCTATGAGAATATGAGAAGACTTCCTCAAGGAGAAAAGAAGAATGGATGAATGATGAGATACTCAATATGATGGAAGAACGGGGACAATTTAAAAACAAGGACAATAATAATTACAGAGAGATAAACCACGAGATCAGGAAGATAATAAAGCAGGCAAAAGAAAAATATTTTGAAGAGCAATGCAAAGAGATAGAAGACCTTCAAAATAAATATGATCTGTTTAACCTACACAAGAAAGTTAAAGAACTGGCAGGACTAAGAAAACAAAGTCCCACTCGTGCAATTCTGGATAGACGGGACTACTAATACATATGGACGAGAAAGTACAAAGATTGGCAGAATATATCGACGAATTGTTCGATGATTAAAAAGGAGATCTGGAGCACATAGAACTTACGTCAGAAGAAATAGGTCCATATATTGCAAAAGGCGAAATAGTACATGCATTAAAAAAATGAAGAGTAGGAAAAGAGTGGTTAACATCGATTTTTATTTGTCTCCTAAAAAGAAAAACGCAAGAGAATGCAGCGATTACCGCACCATTAGCTTGATGTCTCATATGCTATAGTTACTACTGAATGTCATCTATAACCGAATATATGACAACTGGACATAGGAACTCGTGAAGCTCTTTTTTCACTTAATATACTGATACAAAGATGCCTGGACTTCAATCAAGATATATACGCATGTTTTATTTACTATAATAAAGCATTCGATAAAGTACCACATAAACAATTAATGAATGTCCTGAAATCAAAGAATATTGACTACAACGACCTCAGGATCATATCAAACTTATACTATAAACAGCGAGCAAAAGTACTTGGTAACGTGTTAATTCTTTTTAATGCCTACTCCGAAGAGATCCTGAAAAACGCTTTTGAGGGTGAAACAGCTGAAATAAAGGTAAATGAGTTCCCATTAACAACATTAGAATGCGGACGACACTCTGATCTTAACCGAAAACATTGAGAGACTGGTGACCAGAATAGCACAGTATGGAAAAGAGTATGGTCTAACAATAAATGTCAAGAAGATGAAATTTATGAGAATATCGAAAACTAAAAGAAATAACGAGAATATTCTAATAAACGGAACCAACGTCGAACAAGTGGACAAATATGCATATCTGGGAATAATGATTAACTCCACAAATGATTACAATGAGGAGGTCAAAATAAGAATAAAAAAGGCTAGAGCAAATTTCAAAAAAATAAGAAGAATGCTATGTACCAGGGATTTAAATCTGGAACTAAGAGTTAGGTTGGCGAGTGCTATGTTTTTTCGACTTTATTTTATGGAATGGAATCTTGGACCTTGAATGCGACATCAATGAAAAAACTGGAATCATTCGAGCTGTGGTTGTACAGAAGAATTCTGAAAATATCGTGGACAGAACACGTCACAAACAAAGAGGTTCTGGGAAGGATGAATAAAGAAATAGAAATTTTAAATACAATAAAAACAAGAAAATTAGAATATCTCGGACATATTACACGTAGAGAGAAATACATCTTGCTCCAACTGATTATGCAGGGAAAGAGAAGCATAGGGAGGCGTAGAATGTCATGGCTGCGCAACCTGAGAGAGCGGTACGGATGTACATCAAATGAACTTTTTAGAGCAGCCGTCTCAAAAGTCCGAATAGCTATGATGATTGTCGACTTCCACCGCGGAGATGGCACTTGAAGAAGATGAGAATATGCTCCATTTAGCCGAAAAATCGAGAAACTGTAGATTTTTAATTTAATTTTTTCCAGCAAACTAATGGTGGGGGATAGGAAAAAAGACATGTTTGGAATAAGCCGGACCAAGTGCATGTACTTTCGTGAAAGTTGTATTGTGGAAAATGCCTTGAAATACAAAAACAATTTTAAAAACTTTTTAAGTTTAAAGAAACCATCGTTTTTACTACTAATTTTTAATTATATTTTTTTTTTGTTTTTAGTCCTTAAAACATGTAGTAATATTTTTATACCTTTATTGAATCACTTCCCCTTCCGAAAATGTCACCGCACGCCACTGCTTTCGTTTCTAAACCTGCACTGGAAAAGAATATTATTTATTGTAACACTAACTTTAAATAGTGTGGCAAATAATTTATTTACTTTTAAAATAGTTTGTACGTTGGGACAAAATATTCGCCTCTAGCTCAAAATCTCAGATTTACTCTAGCTCAAAAAATTACTGCTTTTAAAAAATGAATGGTTGTCTTTTTAGCCCTTTCTGTCCCAGCGTACACTACAGTGTACAAAATTTTCATCTGAACCAAAATTTTAGTTTGTTTTTATGGTAAAGTCCCGGTGTGTATGTGAGTGTACAAACATACCATAGATTTATCATAAGCAGGTGCTGTGATCTAGCGCCAAAAAGATTAAATAAAATAAAATATCACAGAAAACATGGATGACTTCTACTGGCAATGCAGTACTGTAAAAGATCGTTGTTTTATTGTACTAGATTTTACCAACCGGTTAGAAACCAGTTAGAAAAATTCTTTGCTACCCTAGTAACACACGACGTCCTATGGACGTCCAATATACGTCCAGTTTTGGTCCGGACGTCCCTGCACGTAAAATGGACGTACTATGGACGTACGAAGTGGGACGTACTTTGGGTGGACTAAATATGGACGTTCTCTGGACGTCCGAGTATGGACGTCCCCTGGACGTCCGAACTCGGACGTTTTCTGGACATCCGACATTTACCAATTATGGGATCAAATGGCAAATATTTCAATAAAATAAAAAATTATTTACGTTAATAAAATAATTAAAAGCGAAAAGGTTAAATCATGATTAATTAAAAATTGTATAGTTTAATATATCCAAAACATGTTTTTGTTTTTAGGTAAAGTGTATTATTATTCTAGTTATCAAGATATATGTTTGCTAATTCTAATAAGTAAAAATATGATTTTTATCGACAAGATGAATCTTGATAATCTTTTCCACAGCATAATTTGTCTCTTTTGTCTTTTCAAAGACAAAATAATGAAAAATAATGATGTGATATGACATGTGAATCATGTGCTGATTGATGATATTAAATTAATTGTCAATATTGTCATTGTCATGTCATACCTATTTAAACAAATCGTACAGTTTAATCATAATATTATTATTATTATTGCTTTAATAAAAGAAATAAAAAAACTCTATTTAAGCAGTGTACAGTGCATTGGTCTTTTTGATGCTTCATTTGATAGTATATTGTTAAAGGTTTGGTACCATTTTTGTTAGGTTATTTTCGAATTTGGTTTTTATTTTATTACAAAAGGTAAGTAATTTTTCTTAAAATTGTTTATGTTTAAAAGTAAATTAGTTCTGGTTACAATACTTCTGATTTAAACTTTTTATTAACATGTTAAGTACCTAAAATAATCCAAATTACCACGTGGCCGACTATTCCAATGATACTTTACAAAGCATTTTTTTCAATAAAACTGAAGAAGGGTCTAAATATGGTTGTAACGAGAATTCTGGAGAACCTTATCG